CCCATGTGGCTCTAAGGAGCATTCTGGCGGTACTTCTTTGACTATAGATTTGTTTGTTCTTCTTGCAGTCTATGGTACTTTTAATATTCTTCTCCAAAACCATAACTCAAATGAAAAAGATTAACGTTGTCAAAGACTTCATTTTGCTTGGATCCACAATCAACACTCATGGAAGCATCAGTCAAACAATGAAACAACATATTGCAGTAGGCAACTCTGCTGAAAAAGAACTTTTGAAAGTTGAAAAATTATCAGTTAAAAAAGTTATCCCTTCTCAGCGACCTTATATGCATGTGAAAGCTGAACAATGACTAAGGAAGACTGGAAAAGAATCCATACATCTGAATTAGGTTTTTTTTAAAAAAAAATTTATAACAAATAGTGACATCAAAGCAAATTAAATATTTTCTACCTCCTGGAGACTTAAACTTACGAATAGACAACTCTTTCTAAAAGAGTCTAACTGGGCAATCCCCATAAGCCAAACCCGTTAGGCCATTGCTTGGGCTTCTAAGACTCAGATCACAAAAATAACTAATAAGTCTAAACTGAAAATCCATCTGTCCCAAACAATGATCCACTGAGGCATTTGGCATTTGGGTGGCATGTAATTCTATTTCAGCTATAGTTTCACACTTTCCATTATACACATCCCCTAGTATTTTTGTAAATAAGTCAGCCACAACAGCGATTAAAATTCCAAACTCTTATATACTTTTTCACTTCACCACCCAAAACAACAACAACAAAATACAACATATTTCAGATCTTACCATTTATTCGTAGTTAAAAACATGTCCCACTGCTGTCTATATGTAAATAATCCCCTAGTTAAATATTGTAGTTGCTGCAGTCTCTCATGATTTGATGCAGAGCATAAAAAACCATATTCCACAGTGTTATTATTGTGGTTAAGTGCCATCAAGCCAGTTCTGATTCAGAGTGGCCCTGCATAGGGCTTCCAAGGAATAGCTCGTGAGTTTGAACCTCTAACCTTGTGGTTCAAAACGACCTTGCAGTCCAGTGTTTTATCCCATAGCACCAGGCCAGGACTCCATATTCCACAATAGGAAAGAAAATTCACCAGTGAGATTTTCTTTTCACTGTGTGATGCTGTAGGAAAGTAATGAACTGCTAACTGTAAGGCTAATGATTCAAACTCACCAGCTGCTCCTCAGAAACCTTATACAGACGTCGCTATGTATCAGAATTAACTCAATGGCACTTAACAAAGGGAGTCCTGTTGTGGCACTGTAGTATAAGCACTGGACTGCTAACCATAAGGTTAGCAGTTCAAATCCATCAACTGCTCCTTGGGAACCCTATATAGGGTCACTATGAGTCTGAACTGACTCGATGGTACTTATCAATAACAACACCAGGCAAATGATAAATGTGTCAGATTACAATTTTGTTAATATTGTACAGTTTATAATCCACACCTTCACAATATGTGAATGTCTGAATTATTTGTACAAATTTCCTATGGAACAGTTCTACTCTGTCACATGGTGTCACTTTGAATAGTAATGAACTTGATGGCACTCAAAACCAACAACCTATTCCCAGTACTTACTGTCTTCATGAGGCTGAATCAATCCAAGTTCAGCATCATAGTTGGCACATCTCAATAAAATACTGATTAACTGATTGGTGCAGGTGTTAAACACAAAAAAGGCCCTTAAAATGCAGATGATGCCAACAATAAATAAACAAGTTTGAGACAGAATCACAAATTATTCTCAAGCTGATTGCCAGAAAACCAAAATTATAGCACACAGATGGGAAGTTTGGTGTTTCTGGCCCATATCCTTGTTGTTGTTGTTGTTAAGTACCGTGGAGTTGGTTCCGACTCATAGTGACCCTGTGCAGGGTTTCCGAGGCTGTAAATCTTTATGGGAGCAGAAAGCCTCATCTTTCTCCCGCGGAACTCTGGTAGTTTCGAACTGCTGACCTTAAGGTTCGCAGCCCAATTCGTAACCACTATGCTACCAGAGCTCCTTGGACCATATCCTTAGCCATGGCCAATTAAGACAAGCCAACCCTCTCAGTCCAACACAATTCAGATATGTTCACCCACTCATACTTTACAATTGTTTATCAAATAGGAATTATGGTGTAGTGGAAAATGTGCACCACCTATAATTTAAAAACTATGCACATGTGGTGTCACATACATACAAACTATATATTTATAACTTCAGAAACCTTGTAAGAAAACAGAATGTTGGAATGTGATCGCTGAGAATACATGATGAAACATTGCTGTGAAAAATTTAATGCACAGACGTTCTTGTTGGAAAATAAGAGAACTGTTTCCTCTCTTCACTGGCATTCAACAGATTTTCCTCCTCCATTGCTATTATTACAAGACCAAAAAATACAGCACTTGTAGCTGAATCCTTTTCTGCAAAACTCACAAGTCAATCAGTGGCCTTTCATATATATTTTACACTGTTGTTGTTAAATGCTGTCAAGTTGGTTCTGAGTCATAGCAACCCTCTACAGAGGAGCAACTAGTCTAACAAATTTTCTGTTGGCAGTCAAGTTCTTATCCTGTATCATCACACCAGGTAACTATATATTTTGCAGTATGTTGTCCAAATGTAGACCCCTGATCAATGTAAATCTTGCCATAGTAAGGTCCAAAAAAGAAACATTTAATTTGAAGTCAAATCTTCTTTGATCATTCTTAGTTCAAATAAATCATAGAAAAACTCCTGGTGTGATACCCTAGGATCAGCACTGGACTGTGAACCACAAGGTCGGCAGTTTAACCAGTTCAAACACCAGCTGCTCCTTGGAAACCCAATACAGGGTTGCTAAGAGTTGGAACTGACTTGACGGCACTTAACAACAGTAACAGCAGCAACAGGTTAAATATGTCTTGTCTTCTGTAATTTCCGTATCATAGTTTCCAGTTGGAACTTAAAGTTAAATTGTTAACTATTAAATGCTTATACTCGACCTAAGCTATGGAACTATAGTTGTATAATTAATCACTAACATTAAATACTTTTATTATTTGTATAAGAAATGTTTTCTGATTTTTTTCTATCTATCTATCTATCTATCTATCTATCTATCTATCTATCTATCTATCTATCATCTATCTATCGAGAGAGAGAGCGAGCTCTGGTAGCATAGTGATTACGAATTGGAATCGGGCTGCTAATCTCACGGTCAGCAGTTCGAAACTACCAGCTGTTTCACGAGAGAAACATAAGGCTTTCTGCTCCTGTAAAGATTTACAGCCTCGGAAACCCTGTACAGGGTCTTTGTGAGTCGGAACTGACTTCACAGCACATAGCAACAACAATACATATATTGGTATGTTATTGTTTTGTCTTTAAAATTTTTTGTTGTGAATTGAGTGAAGGCTTACAAACAAGATCATCAGTTTTACATTCAACAAATAATACACTTTGTTTCATCTCAATGATTACAATCCTCTCTGTGAAACAACAGTCATCCACTTCCCCCTTGTAGCTCCTATTTCCCTTCCCATCCCTTCTCACCTTGTCCTTAGGAACATGTTGCCTCTTTGATTTTAAAGCAAACAGAAAACAAAGTCCCTTCAGTTTGTAGCATACTTTCATGTGACACTAATACTATTTTGAAGATTTTCTAATATTTTTATAAGAAGAATATATACTTAGATGTATTTTTCCTTTTCCATGACTTCAAAATTGGGGTAGGAGCAACTCAGAAGAGGAGCGTGAAACTGGATATACTGCTTGAAGAATGTTATCACTTTCACTGAATTTTACATGTAGAAATGGGTGAATTGGTCTATGTTTTACTGTTTATATTCTCAGCAACAAAAAATACATTTTAAATACTTTGAAACTTAAATAAAATGTTGTTATTATTTGCTGCTGAGTTGGTTCTGGCTTACAATAGTCCTGTATAAGGTTTCTGAGGCTGTAAATCTTTGTAGGAATAGAAAAACCTCATCGTTCTCCCTCAAATTCGTTAATGTGGTCCCACTGCCGACCTTGTGGTTAGCAGTCCAGTGCTTATCGTACAGAACTACAGTGCTCCCAAAATAAAATATTAGAGGCACATTTCTGTCCTTCCCCATCTGCTTTTAAAGCAGTAATTACAGTGCATAAAATATGTTTTAATAAAAATTCCTTCCATTGTAAAGAACTCAAGTAAACTCTTGAAAATGTGGACAATGGAAGGAACAACCTGCTGTTTTCTACTAGATGGGAGGGATAATGGAAAGAAACAGGTTTAACACAGACACTCTGTACCACAAATTGCTGCATAACAAACAGCCACAAAATCTCCATGAATGTTACTGCTTATGTAGGATTAGTAACATCCAGTGTTACCTGGGTATCAGCAAAACATCCACATAAAATAAGAATTTATTCTTTACCACCTTCACTTTAGAGTACTGGGCAAACTATGTAGGAAATAAAACAAAGACTCTGCAAATAAACATGGCATCTTCCTTATTTAATGGTTGTTGTTAAATGCTGGTGCCTCAGTTCCAACTCATAGCAACCCTGTATAGGGTTTCTGAGCAGTTGTTGGGTTTGAACTGCTGACTTTGTGGTTCACAGTCCAGTGTTGATCCTGTAGTGCCACACCAGGAGCCAGGTCCTGTATCCTATTGTTGCTAAGTCGGTTTTGACTCATAGTGACCATATGCACAACAGAATCCTGTGCCATCCTCACAACTGTTGTTAGATTTGAGCCTGTTGTTGCTGCTACCATGTCAATCCATCTCATTGGGCTCTTCCTCTTTTTCACTGACCTTCCTCTTAACCAAGCATGATGACCTTCTCCAGGTACTTGTCCCTCCTGATAACATGTCCGAAGTATAAGCAAAATATTGAGTCATATTTTTAGTAATTTGTTCTTTATACTTAAGGTGAGTTGTTAGAAAAGTTTAGTGGTTACAATTCTAATTGTGTAACTGTTATTTTTATAGGAAACTTACAGAGACTCATCTGAAAATCATTCCCAGTCACGCATTTTCAAATCTGCCCAATATTTCCAGAATGTAAGTATTTCCATTGGATATGAAAAATAATTTGCATTTGTGACATTACTTTCTAATTGTAGCATATGTTTTATTAAAAATGTTTTATTGTATATTATACTTGTCATAAATCAATGACATGTACACTTCTAATGTATTTGAAAGTATATTTTGCTATATTTCTTCTCCCTAATTCCTAAATTATTTTTTAACCTAAAGCAAATTTAAATTCATTTGGTCTTGGAAATTTTATAATTCTTGATATATTTTCTAATATCTTAGGATGAAAAACTTAGCTGGGAATCTCTTTCATAAACAGATTTATAATATCTATCTCTAGCCTATCTATTCTAGTAACCAATTATTGATTCATTTTTCAACACTAATATCTTTGTTTAACTTTCTTATCAATGTAGTCAGTGATTTCTGACTTCTCTCATAAAAGAGAAATAAAAAAAAGGAAAGAATCAGAAGTAATTCTAAACCTTCGAAACTGAATTGCTATCTGCTCAGAGTGAAGGGAGAAAGGATGTCTCTGTTGGGTTGACAAAGAGTGCATCTCTGTATAAAATGATGTATGAAGTCTCAATTTCATTTAACTTACAGTAACACTCCAGAACATTCAGGCACACTAAATCACACTACAACCAGGAGCAGCCTCTGCAATTTCAGGGGAAATACATTCATTTCATGGCCATTTGGTAAGTTTCTATTGTGTCCATTTTGTGCTTTCTCAGCTAGGTATGAATTTTCCAGAAGCATTTGGCAAGGTGTAGAGATACTTTTGGCTCTCATAACTGGAGGGTCACTATTGGCATCTATTGAGTAGAAACCTGGGATGCTGCTACACATCCCACAAAAATACACAGGACAGCGCCCTCACCATAACTAAAAAGTTTCCAGTCCAAATGTCAATTACACAAGGTTAAGAAAGCATTCTAACTAAACCACTTTGTAATTTCTGATTTGTCTTCCATTTTAAAAGTCTTGTCTACTTTGGTTTCCTTCTCGTAGCTCTCTCTGTCCTCTTAGCATCCTATACTGCTTAATCTTCTTCACTTCCCATTTTATTTAATTTTACTTTATTTCTTCAATTCTTTCTTTGTTAATGTCCTAATCCCTTTACACCTACTCTCTTTTAATGAACTCCTTTGACTTCACTCTTACCTAACAAGGTTGAAATTCATAGGCCAGGATCTCTACCACTGTCTCATTCCTACAACTCAGGCCTGCGTTATAAACTTCCTTTTGAACATCGCCACCACTTTGCTATTATTCCACAGGCACCACACATACAGTATATCTAAAATAAACCTGTCATCTACCTCCCAAATTCCTCACCTTCTCCTTTTAACAGCATCACTATTAGGTGCTCTATAAATTAAAGACCTTAGTCACATTTAGTTCCTCCTTGTCGTTCATATTCTTATACAGTTGTCTATTTAGTGTCTCCAATGGATGTTCCAATAGTTTGACCACTACTTCATTCATTCAACATTTATTACTGAGCCCTACTTTATGCCGGACACCATGCTAGGTTCTTCATAGACAACACTCAAGGAGACTTCACTTTCATTCCTAAAGGAGTGAAGATTGTCATGATTAGAGAAGTTATGGAAGCTGTGGGAACTCATATGAGGGACACATGACCTGCAGAGTATGGTCAGGAAAGACTTCTTGGAGGAAATGACACCTAACTTAAGATCTGCCTTACCAAGGCAAAAAAAAAAAGTGGGGGCGGGGGGTGTGTGTAGAAAAGCAGTTTCAAGCAGTAAGGAAAAATCTGGGCTGTTTGAGAAATTTATTTACATTTATTAAGGCTGGAGCTTAGTATGATAGGGGAGATGACAAAAAAAAAACAAAAAACAAATAAGATCAATGATAAGGTAGGTACAGGATCTTTTAAGATGTGTGAAAGAATCTGCTGTCTTCCCTAAGGACAGTATGGAGCCACTGTATGTTTTTGAAGGAGCTCTGGTAGCGTAGTGGTTACGAATCGGGCTGCGAACCTTAAGGTCAGCGGTTCGAAATTACCAGCCGCTCCGCGGGAGAAAGATGAGGCTTTCTACTCCCGTAAAGATTTACACCCTCGGAAACCCTGTACAGGGTCGCTATGGGTCGGAACCGACTCGACGGCACTTAACAACAACAACAACAAGTTACATGATCAGATTGTTATTTTAGAGACATTACCCTGACTGTACTATGGACAGTAACTTGAAAAGATCATAACCGAAGACCAGAAACTAGTGAAGAGGCTGATACAGAGCCCAAGGAAGAAGACAGATGATTAATCAAATAATGATAGTTAAATTGGAGGCAAAGAAAAAGTAGTGAGATTTGAAAAAGAAATAAGGGGGAATTGACAAACCTGACATTAGATTGATTTGCAGGGTAAGTGATATGGAGAAGTTCTGCATCCAAGTGGCTAACTAGGACAACTATGTGATGATGAGTGTTTGTGCTAAGATAGAGAAATATTTCTTGTGAATCTGTTGTGGAGAAGCAGAGGGTAAATTATGAGTTTATTTGTGACATATGGCATTAGAGGTGCCTTTAGGCATCAAGTAGTTATGTCAGATAGATATCAGGACATATGCATAATTTTTCATTCATTCAGCATATATTTACTCAGTTCCTATTTGTGTCAACTCCATGGAGTTAAGGGTACATCAGGGAGCAAAGTGGACAAAGATTCCTGCCTCTATGGAACTTCCATCTGAACGTAAGAGATAGACAATGGCCAAAAGCATAATGAATATGTAAATTACATAATCATTTAGAAGGTGATAATGGATATGGGAAAAGTAAAAACTATAGCACAGAAAGGATGCCTGGAAATGACGGGTATGTGAGGAGTATTCAGGGGAGACATTTGAGTAGTGGTTAAATCTTGAGAATAATAGGGAGATGTAACTGGAACCACAGGAAGGTATCAGTAGAGAGGGGGAAGTTGGAGACAGTGTGAAGAAAGAATAATTTTTCAAGTGTGAGGTCACTGAAGAGTCAAGGAATGAAATCAAAAATGAAGTGATTGACCTTCCACAGGAAAATGGTCACCTTTGCACTGTAACAGGAAGCAAAAGAAGAGGCAGATGCAGGTCAATTAGTATACTTGTTGGTGGGAAACTGAAGGGATTCTCATTAAACAGAGTGTTTACTTTTTTTCATTAATCAAGTGAAGTTGATATTTCATAACGTATGGCTTTTCAAAACAATGAAATATGATTTTTCATATAAAATTATAATAAGTTATCTATTAACATTATAGGTAGAGTTGACTAGAATAAAATTTTAACATTAGAACCAAATGTGGAGGTCAATAAGAGAAGGAAGGTTGACTGAGTTGATGTCCAGGCAGATTTAAATGTGAGTTGAGCCTTCCTTCAGGGAAATTGTGCTAGATGATCTGTCATGTTGTTGATATTAGGTGCTATTGAGTCGGTTCCAACTCATGGAGACTTAATGCACAACAGAACACAGCAATGCTTGGTCCTGTACCAGCCTCACAATAGTTGTTGTGTTTGGGCCCATTGCTGCTGCCACTGTGTCAATCCATCTTGTTGTGAGACTTCCTTGTTTTCCCTGGTTCTCAACTTTTCCAAGCATGATACCCTTCTCTAGAGACTGGTCCCTCCTGATAACATGTCCAAAGTACAAGAGATGAAGTCTCACCAACCTCGCTTCTAAGGCGCATTCTGGCTGTACTACTTTCCAAGACAGATTTGTTTGTTCTTTTAGCAGATAATCTGCTCTGAGTTAATTGTTCTCTGAATCCCATCAAAACATTTAACAACACAGTTTGTTAATTCTGTTTCTCCATCTATGTCTCCCACTACATTGTGAGTTCCTTGAAACTAGGGATTGAGTCAGTTTTGTCAATGTCCAGAAACACATCTGACATGGATAATATTTGTTCAATTAAAACATACATACATAAATGAATAATAATTAAAGAGCTGGTATGTTTAAGGGGAAGGCAGAAGTCACCAGGATTATACAGTTCAAATTCTTACCTGTTATTCTGGCATAATTATTAACAGCACTCCATTTTTCACTTAAGAAACTATCCTGGATTAGATGATAAATGACGAAGCTAAGAAATTTGAGGAAGAGGTGAGATTTTATTTTCCCTCATTATAAAAAAGGAATAAGTACAGAAAATTGGCAGTGGGGTGGCTCTGTAGGATAAGCAATGGACTCCTAACCACAGATCTATGGTTGGAGTCCACCAGCCACTCCAAGGGTATTTACTTTTCTTCATTAATTAAGTGAAGTTGATATTTCATAACACATGGCTTTTCAAAACAATGGAATATGATTCTGCATGAAAAATTCTTTATTAGCTGTAATGTACTACACAAATAAAAACTGGACTATTAAACACAAAATTGGCAGTTTAAAACTACCAGTCACTCCACAGGAGAAAGATGAGGATTTCTGCTCCCACAAAGTTTACAGTCTCAGAAACCTATAGAGTAGAGATGGGTAAACTTTTTTCTGCCAAGGGTCACTTGATATTCATAACATCATTCAGAAGTCATAAAATTATCAACTTAAAAATTAGCTTTCTATACTTGGTCAAATATTTACTTAACTCACCCCTATTATGACGGCTCCTCGGAAACCCTGTATCCTATACACGGTCGCTATGAGTCGGAACTAACTCAACAGTGCTTAACAACAACAAAATGTGATGCTGAAACTTCAGTTGCCTTGACAGGGCCAGACCAAATAATTTGGTGGACCTTATGTGGCCCTTGGACCAGATATTACCCAACTCTGTTATAGAGGGTTCACTATAAGTTGGAACTGAGTGGCACTTAAAAACAATCAGAGAATTACTACTGCCATTCCATTTACTTAATAATTCCAACATTTTGTCTCACCCTCTAATAAGATGTCATCAGGTTGGAGAAACTGGAGTCCATATAACACGAGTTGAATGATCATTCCACTAAGCCCTTGAGAAAGGTTCACATTCTAAACCAAGAAATTCAAGAGATGATTTGGAGCAAAGGCAGTGAAACAAGTTGAAAGCCTTCAAAATAAATCTTACTTTTCAGATGGCTCAGCTTCAGTCATTATAAATATAAATGGAAGACATTCTTTTCAATGTCTTGTAATGTTTTCTCTACTTGGAAATATGGTATTTGGATTAAAGTAGTTTATATAACATTGTTATTCACAAAAGACCATGGGTTTAGGAGACCAGACAGATTAAAGGATAATAGTTAAGAGAGCAGGTATTTCAGAACAGAAAGTGCAGGGCCATTAGAATTGTCACAATAACCATGAAAGAAACTCATAATGGAGCAGCTATTGTATCAGTGAAAATATCCTGCTGGCAAATTCAATTCAAACTCTAGACCAGTGGTGCTCAATCCTGACTGCCTCTAGAATCACCTGGGAAGCATTGTAAAAATAAAAATGATTTTCCCATCCTGCATACACTCTGATTTAATTATCCTGGACTGAGTCTTTGACATCAGTATATTTTAAAAGCCCTGCAGGTTCTTCAGTTATGTGGCCAGAATTGAAACTCTGCTATGACTATGGGTGGACACCATCTGCTATTCATTAATTTTTTAAAATGCCATGGAAATATCTCTCAAAAGAAAACAGTGATTGATTTGATGGTATTAGTCATTCTCATTACAAGATGGAATTTGAGCAGACTATTTGAGACGTCATTCCTTACGTATTCCTGACAAGTTGTACAAGTATTCAGTTTTTCCTTTTTCTCCTTTTTCAGTACTGAAAACTTTGATTTCTCTTTTGCTCACAAAGTTCAAGGTGAATCTTGAATTTTTAGCCTCATTCAAATAAAGTCTTGAATGAATATGCAATTCTATATTTTTCTTCATCCTCTCTAAAACTATATTCCAAACCCCATGTTATTCAGAACTAAGATGACAGATTATTAATTTTTTCATGCTTTTTAGTTTAAATAACTCACCTGTTCATTCATACATTCACTTAATACATATTTATGGGGAGTCATATACCTGCCAAACACTACAAAAGGTACTCAAGATTCAATAACTGGCCAGCAAAAGTCAAAACAGTTTTTCTTTTTAGAGAATTTACAGTCTAGTGAAATGAGAAACAGTTTACGATATTATTATTATGGGGAATCCAATCTAGGAGACTTTATGAAGGAAGTGACATTTGAATGAGATCTGAAGGATAAATGAATAGGACATGCTGTATTAGGAAACTTCTGATGTCATGAGATGAAAACAAATATAGCAACTATTTTAATATAAGGAGAAATAATGAGAATTATGGATATTGCAAGATCTGGAAAGCTCCTAACAAAGAAGCTACATCAAAATTAAATAGTATACTTGATGTTCACAACCCTACTAATTTCCTACTTTGTCTTGTATTTTTTGTGATACTCAGCTACTTATCAATAGACACAACTCTGCAACGGCTGGAATCATATTCCTTCTACAATATGAGTAAAATGACTCACATGTAAGTACAATGAAAAGTGTGTCAGTGTCCCCAGCTATTGTCAATCATGGCTGATGATGTGGGGGTGCCAGATGACAATGAGAACTGGTTCCTAGAACATAGGTAAAAACTTCTATTTATGGTCAAATTCTAAGTCTCTCTCTGAGTTTATGTTAATCCATCCTGATCACTTCTCAGTTCCGTGATTAAAAGATGAAAGACAACATGTGAAATCCTCTTCATGACCTGCTATTTTATTCTATTGTTATGCTGTCTGCAGATATTTTTGGGGCATATGCCAGTGGGTCAATGAATGTTTACTAAGCACTCATTTTGCGTTTTGCCCCATCAGCAAATAAAGGTCCTAAAAGCTTTACTCCATTCACCTTGTCATGGTCAACTCTACTTTGCGGAGGCAGCTCTTCCCCAGATTGAGTGCCTTCCAATCTGAGGGGCTCATCTTTGGGTAATATATCTGACAAAATTGTGGTGCTTTTCATCATATTTCAATATTAAATCATGATGCTATCTGACAGTATTCCACTACTTACTACTCATGAAGATTTCAGTGACTAAACATATGGAATTAGTTAGTCTCTCATTCTTACTAGTCTGTCTTAGTCAGCAGAAACCTTTCAACTATGGGTGACCCTGCTGGTATTTAAATACCTGTGGCATAGCTTCCAGAATCATAGCCACATGCAAGCCATCCCAGTATGACAAAGTGACAGATGAGTAGTGGTATAAATCTTTATGGGAGCAAACTCACCTGCCGCCTCTTGGAAACCCTATATAGGGTTGCTATGAGTTTGAACCAACTCATCTTTCTCCTGTGCAGTAACTGGTAGTTGTGAACTGCCAACCTTGTATTTAGCAGTCCAGTGCTTATCATACAGTGCCACCAGGACTCCCCCCAAAATTGTTTTTATTTATGTAGTAATTACAGCTTATAAAGAATTTTACATACAAAATCATATTTCATTATTTTTAAATGCCATGTGTTATAAAATATCAATGTCATTTGATGAATGAAGAAAAATAAGCACCTATGATTTGTTTTTATTTATGTGGTACATTACAGCTTATAAAGAATTTTACATGCAAAATCATATTTCATTGTTTTAAATGCCATTATGTTTTGAAATATCAATTTCATTTGATTAATGAAAACAACAACAACACTAATTATCAATAATAGCAGTCCTAGTGTGATGCTGTAGGGTAAAGCACTAGACTGGAAGGTCAGTTTAAATCATACGGTCAGTGGTTCAAACTCACTAGCTACTTCTTGGAAACCCTATACAGGGTCACAATGAGTTGGAACCAACTCGATGGCACTTAACAACAATGACAACAATCAATAAATGCTTGTCTAGACAAGGACTCCTGATGGCACAGTAGTTAAATACCTGATCTGTAGACTGAAAGGTCAGAGGTTTGCATACATCAGTCATGGGAGAAAGACATGGCAGACTGCTACCATAAATATTTATAGCTTTGAAAACCCTCTAGGGTTGTTCCACTTTGGCCTAAATGGTCACTATGAGTTGTAATCCATTTGAAAGCAATTTGTTTGAAATGGTCTAAGACACTATGCTAAGAATTTCATGTACTTTGCTTAGTTAACACTCAATTGCCCTTCAAAAACTAATCTATGAAACTGATTCTTATTTCCACAACTTGTATATAAACATATAAATGTTGCTGTTACCACGTGCCATCAAGTCAGTTCCACACATAGTGAACCTATACATAATAGAACTGAACACTGTGTGGCCCTGTGCCAGCCCCACATTTATGGTTACACTTGAGCCCATTACTGCTGCCATTGTTCCAAATCTATGTCACTGAGACTCTTCCTCTTTTTTCTGACCCTCCATTTTACCAAGCATGATGTCTTTCTCCAGGGATTGGTGCCTCCTGATTGTTGTTGTTGTTGTTGTTAGGTTCCATCGAGTCAGTACCGTCTCATAGTGACTTTATGCACAGCAGAACGAAACACTGCTTGATCCTGGGTCAGCCTCACTACTGTTGCCACGCTTGAGTCCATCGATGCTGCCACTTGGCCAATCCATCACGTTGGGGGTCTTCCTCATTTTCTCTGACCCTCCACCTTACCAAACATGATATCCTTCTCCAGCGACTGGTCCCTCCTGACAACATGTCCAAAGTATGAGAGACGAAGTTTGGCCATCTTGGCCTGCAAGGAGCACTCTTGCTGCACTTCTTCCAAAACCGATCTATTGGTTCTTTTGGCAGCCCATGCACTTTCAATATTTTCCAACATCATAATTCATTCTTCTTGGATCAACTACTAACACTCATGGAAGCAGCAGTCAAGAAATCAAATGACATATTGCATTAGGCAAATCTGCTGCAAAAGATCTTTTTAAAGTGTTGAAGAGCAAAGATGTCAGCTTGAGGACTTAGTTGCCAAAAATACGAAGCCATGGTATTTTCAATAACCTCATATGCATGTGAAAGCTGGGCAGTGAATTAGGAAGACTGTAGAGGAATTGGTGCCTCCTGATAACATGTGCTAAATGTGACACATGAAGTCTCACCATTCTGACTTCTAAGGAACTTTCTGGCTTTACTTCTTCCAACACAGATTTGTTTGTTTCTGGTGGTCCATGTTACTTTTAATATGCGTCTCCAACACCATAACTCAAATGAATCAATTCTTCTATGATCTACCTTATTCAAAGTACAACTTTCACATGTATATGAGGAGATTGTAAATATCATTGCTTGGGTCAGGCATACTATGTAGTCTCAAACTGACATCTCAACTCTTGAACACTTGAAAGAGGTCTTGTGCAGCACATTTGCCTGATGATTGCTTGCCTGTTGATTCCATGGGTGTTGATAGTGAATCCAAGGAAAATGAAATCCTTCATAACATCCATCTTTTCATCATTTATTATGATATTATTTATCGTTCAAGTTGTGAAGATTTTTGTTTTCTTTACATTAAGGTTCAATCCATGCTGAAGGTTGTGGTCTTTGATTTTTATCAGAAAACATTTTAAGTCCTCTTGCCTTTCAGTAAGTAAGGTTGTACAATGTGTGTTTCACAGATTGTTGAGTCTTCCACCAATCCTGATGACATGTTCTTCTTCACATAATCCAGTTTCTCTGATTATTTGTTCATCATACACAGTGAATAAGTATGGTGACAGAATACAACTCTGGTGCACATCTTCACTGATTTTAAAATATTTAGCGTCCCCTTGTTCTGTTGGAATGACTGCCTCTTGGTCTATGGAATGACTGCCTCTTGGTCTATGACTGCCTCTTGGTCTATGTCAGGGGACAGGTTCTGAAAGATCACAATGAAACATTCTGGAATACTCATTCTTATAAATATTATCCATAATTTATCATGATCCACACATTTGAAAGCCTATGCATAGTCAATAAAGCACAGATAAACAACTTTCTGGTATTCCCTGCTTTCAGCCAAGATCCATCTGGTATCAGCAATGATATCCTCCTCATTCTAAGTCCTCACCTGAATGTGACATAAACTTCTGGCAGTTCCTTGTCTATGTACTGTTGTAGCTGTTTTTAAATTATCTTTAGCAAAATTTTACTTGCATGATGATAATGATATTGTCTGATGATTTCTGCATTCCATTGGGTCATCTCTCTTTAGAATGGACACAAATATGGATCTCTTCTAATCAGTTGACCAGGTAGCTACCTTGCATAGTTCATGGCACAGATGAGTGAGTGCCTCCAGTACTGCATCAGTTTGTTGAAAGATTTCAATTGTTATTCCATCAATTCCCAGAGCATTGTTCTTTGCCAATGCCTCAGTGCATCTTGGACTTCTTTCAGTACTGCTAGCTCTTGATCATATGCTACATCTTAAAATAATATCTACCATATCTTTTTGGTACAGGGATTCTGTATTCCTTCCATATTATTTTGATGCTTTTTAAGATCATTAAATATTTTGCCAATTGCTATTGTTGTTAGATGCTGTCGAGTCAGTTCTGAATCACAGTGACCTTATGCACAACAGAACAAAATACTGCCCAGTCCTGTGTAATCTTCACAGTCAGTATTAAGCTTTAGTCCATTGCTGTTGCTACTGTGCCAAACATCTCCTTGGGGGTATTCCTTTTTTTCACTTATCCTCTTTACCAAGCATGATATCCTTCTTCAGGGATTGATCCCTTCTGATACTATGGTCAAAGTATGAGGGAAGTCTCACCACCCTAGCTACCAACGAGCATTCATGCTGTACTTCTTCCAACACATATTTGCTTCTTCTCCTAGCAGTCCATAGCACTTTTAATATATTTCTTCAACAATAAAACTCAAATGCATCAATACTTCCATGGTCTTACTTTTCACTGTTTAACTTTCACATTTATATGCAGCTATTGAAAATACCATGGCCTGGGTCAGGTGCACCTTAGTCCTCAAACTGACATCTTTACTCTTGAACACTTTAAAGAGATTTATGGAACAGATTTACCTAGTGCATATGTTGTATGAAGTCAAGGATTAAATTTTTTCCTTAATTCTTTCATAAATGTTTGTTGTTGTTGTTGTTGTTGTTGTTAAGTGCTGTTGGATCAGTTCCAATTTATAGCTACCCTGCATAGGATTTCCAAGGAGGGGCTGGTGAGGTGAACCGCTGATGCTGAGATTCAAACTGACCTTGCAGCCTGATGCTTACCCTACAGTGCCATACCAGGAAAATGCTACAAGAACAAACAGACAAAAATAAATGCAACTTTTGAAACAATACAAAATCTGCCATTAGTAATCCAGAAGATTAATACTAAGGTTTCAGAAATTGAAAGGGCAATAGAGAATATTTGAAATAATGGAATCCCAAATTAGTGAATTTAGAGAAAAACCTTTCAATACTAGAAGAACAATCAGAAAAAAGAATTAAAATCTCAGAAGAAAACATAACAGTTATGTGAGACACCATGAAGATGAACAACTTATGGGTAAATGGAATTCCAAAACAGGAAGAGACAATAAAAAGCACAGAAAAATTATCTAAGTGTTGTTGGAAGACTTTTCTAACATCATGAAAGACAAAGAGATAAGCATAAAAGAAGCTGAATGACCCCCAAACAGGATAGATTTCAAATGAAAATCACCAACACATATCATAATCAAACTTTCCAAAATCAAACACAAGGAAAGAATCCTGAGAGCAGCTTGGGAAAAATGAAAAGTTACCTACAAAGGAGAACCAATAAGACAAGCTCTGATTTCTTACCAGAAATAATACAGGTAAGAAGGCAGTGGAATGGCAAGCATATGCCCTCAAATATGATGGCAAAATTAGGATATTTCCTGATAAATAGAAATTAAAGGAATTTGTAATGACCAGACCAACTTTACAAAAAATGCTAAAGGGTATTCTTTGGACTGAGAACCAACAACTGCTGATAACAACCTGATAATTACCATACATAACAATGCCACCCAGAAATAAATACAGATATAGAAGTATTTAAAGTGAAACAAAGCTACAAGACGGAAAATGGGAAACCAGACATACCAACATATAATGAAGAAGTCAGCTACAAAGAATTGATGCTTTTGAGTTATGGTGTTGGAGAAGAATATTGAAAGTGCCATGGACTGCCGAAAGAACAAACAGATCTGTGTTGAAAGAAGTACAGGCAGAGTGCTCCTTGGAGGCCAGGATGGCCAAACTTCATCTCTTATACTTTGGACATACTGTCAGGAGGGACCAGTCACTGAAGAAGGATATCATGTTTGGTAAGGTAGAGGGTCAAAGAAAAAGAGGAAGACTCCAGTGAGATTACTTGGCAAAGTGGCAGCATCAATGGGCTCAAGCGTGGTAACAATTGTGAGATTCACCCAGGTTTGGGCAGTGTTTCGTTCTGTTGTACATGGGGTTGCTATGAGTCGGTATCAACTCAATGGCACCTAACAACAATAACAAAGTCAAAGCAAAAAGTGGGAATAGTGTAGATACAGAACTTCCAAAAGGCAAGGAGGTCAAGAAGATTTCAAAATAAAACAGACTGTTTAAAGCAGGGAAAATACAATAAATTACAGGATAACCTCAAAGAAAAATAATATACCCACAACTGAAATGAAAAAAAGAGGAAAATCAGAAAGATTTAGTAAACATTAACACAACAGAAATGAAAATGAAAAGAAAGCCCACAAACAAAATGAAATCAGCATAAAAAATTATGTGGAACAAAAAAACCAGCAGCATTAGGGAAAAAAACAAAAAACAGAAATAATAGTAATCAATTCATGCCTATTGGTAATTACTCTGTATGTAAATGGATTAAATGTACCAGCCAAGAGACATAGAGAGCAGAATGAATAAGAAAACAGGATTTTTCAATATGCTGTCTACAAGAGACATATCAAAAAGTAGAGAGCATAACTGTCCATCAACAGAAGAATGGTTAAACAAACTTTCGTACATACACATAATGGAATACTACAAAAGAATAATGATGAATCTGTAAAACATCTCACAACACAGGTGAACCTGGTTGAGTAAAATTATGCTGAGTAAAATGTTGTTATTGTTAAGTGCCATCAAGTCAATTCCCACTTATAGTGACCCTGAATAGGGTTTCCAAGGAGCATCTGGTGAATTTGAACCAGTGACCTCACAGTTCAAACCAACCTTGCAGTCCAGTGCATTATCCCAAAGTGCTACACAAAAGGACAAATGTTTTATGAGGTCAATGTTGTTAAAAGTTTAAAGAAAAAAGATTTCTTGATAAGAAATGATGGATGATGATTACTGGGGAGTAGTCAGAAAATTATTCACAGGTTTGAGGGTAGACACGTGTCAACATGGGTGACAGGGTTGGCAATATATAACAAGAGAGAAGTGTGCAGAGAAAAGATGAAGGTAGTGGAAGACACAAAAAGGAATGCAATAGTTGAAGTGCATAAAAGTAAATGCTATTAACTGTTGGGACATGGAGAAAATTGCAATCATTGTAAAGAAGCAAAGTATGTGATTTGATGAGCATAAAACTCATCATCTGCTCTGTAAATCTTCACTGAATTCCCAATAAAAAGTTTTTAAAAATGTATTTCCTAACATTGCATTATGTTGCCATTGATAATGTTCAATACTCAATAATACTGATGTTTCAAATGTTGTATCAGATCAATTGCTCAACTGGCAACAATTATGAGAGTTGACCAGTTTTTGTTTGCTTGACAATGTCTGCCTTTTGCCTTCAATTTTGTAGGACCTTTTTGTGGGATTGTCAGGTTATTACTATTTTTTGCTCTCTGCAGATAGCATCCATCCTATTGGTTTCTATAATTTCGGTAGAAAATTTAACTATCAGCCTTGCTTCTTCCTTAAACATATTATGTATTTCACGTCTTGGTGCTTTTAAGTATTTTCTTTCTGTCCTTAATTTTTAGTACTTTACTATGATGTTCTATGATGTGACTGTCTTTCTGTTTATCCTTTTGAAGTTTGTAGCAATTCTTATATCTGTGACCGATTGTCTCTTCTAAGTTTTTAAAATTATTTTCAAATAATGCTTTGATTTTATTCTTTCTCTCTCCTTTTTAGTGGTTATCCAATAATAAGTATATCACACTTTATGCTGTACTAATATTTCTTTTGTTTTTCTTCTGTGCTTCAGACTCCATATGTTCTTCTGAGTTGTCTTCCAGATTACTAATTGTATCTTAGGCTGTGTCTAATCTTGTGTTAAATGTTTGTACTGCTGTTGTTGCTATTAGGTGCCATGGAGTTGGTACCAACTCATAGTGACCTTATGCACAGAACGAAACACTGCCCGATCCTGGGCCAACCTCCCTACTGTTACCATGCTTGTTTGTATTTACTCTTTTTTACAGTTATTGAATTTATACATTCTAGATTTGCAAAAATGAAGAGAAACAGCTGTAAACATCCACTGAAAACAGGAACATGGAATGTAC